ATAGGAAACAAGAAAACATGAAAGTGCTTGGGAACCAGTGTTTTCTTGTTTCCTATGTGGTTATCAGCATGTATATATCCTGTATACACACTCACACAGAATTATTTTGGTAGTTAATGGTGTTTCTAACATAATTGGAGCTGATTTTCATAAGAGAATTGAGTTCCCAGCATTATATTGTGCAGATAAATTATTTTATGGTCTTGTTTAATAAATCTTGTAGGTAATTTTATTCAGGATCATTATGGTATTGAATTCATCTTTCTAACTCAATTAGAACACATGCCATGGATAAAAGTTTATATTCTTTTTTGCTTGTGGCCGGAACCTGATTAATTATTAAATTATCATGCGTCGGTTGAGTCTTGAGGTGGTTGAGGCAGGAAGTAATTGTACAACATTCACAATGTACACCAAAGGTGGAGAGGTTATGTTTTCACTGCTAATTTCATTGCCGAGCTACTCCTGTGCCACCACAGTGGCAGCACCCGTTTACACGAGCTTTCCTTCATACTAACTGGATTTTGGTTGTTTTCTCTTGGGTTGGGGATACATGTGTCTGGTGCTGGACCCAGTCTGGTTTGCAAGGAGATCCGGATTAAGTGAGTCTGGGTTAGAGGGAGTTTATTGTACCTGCATAGGTGTTGGTATTGCCTAACCCTATAATGACAGCAATCGGTGGTTGTACAGTTGTATAAAGTACAGGTGTTGACCGTTATACGATGGGGTTTGGGACATTAAAAAGCCATTGAAGGTGATAGATTGTATGTCGATATTAATAACTTGTGGGGGAAAAATAGGTTCTGTTCCTGAGAACCTGAAGAGCCAGAATTAACACTCCTTGGGTTATTTTTCAACTCATTTTCAGGTAGACACATAATTTATTTATTTATTTTTTCACTGTTACATGCACACAATTTTTTATACAGATTGTGCCCCAAAAATTATCAGAACATCAAAAACGTGAACGGAATGAACATTTCGTACGTGTGGGGCTAGCATATAGAGTGGGGAAGCTGTGTGGGTAATCATGGCTTACTGCCTTATGTCCCATGCGTAGTGACACGATTGTCAAATGATATGGCAATATTTTTTCTTTTATTTATTATTTTTATTTAATCCTCGCATTTACTGGTACAGCACATACAGTGGTCCCTCGGTTAACGAACACAATTCGTTCCAGAAGGTCGTTTGTTAACCGAAACCATTGTTTCAATGGGATGTTGGGTAATTGGTTCCAGCTCACCGAAAAATACATACAAAGTAAAAAAAAAAATGCAGTAAAGTACACTTACTTTGAGGTGTGTATGTAGGAGGCTCCTTGGTTGATGATGATGATGATGGGAATTAGAAGTGGGGGTGGAGGAGAAGAGAAGGAAGTGGGGATGGAAGAGAAATCACCCCATGCTTGATGCCGTCATTTCACCAATAAAATTTTAAGTTCACTAGGTGTAATTCAAGATTATTTTCTTTAAATCAACACTGCACTATATATTGTCAATATGTTAAATAAATTTCAGAATGACCAATAATTGTATTGTAAAAACGTAAAAATTACTGTGTTCAAGAGACCCACTAGCAAGATGTTTCGTCCACTGAACAGAGACACAAACTGACGCCTTGGTGGGTGAGTGAAGTGGCTGCAGGGCGCACCAAAAACTAGTTCCCTGTACTGCAATTATGTTAAATAAGTGTTAAAATGACTAATAGTTTTAATATACGTAAAACTTGGAAAAATATTGAATAACACAACCTTCTTGATATTGACTCCAATGGAAACGAATATAAGCCCTAGAACAGATTACTGTATTGGCAGACTAATCTTCCAGCTGGTGAGCAAGCCAAAACACGTTGACATGTTTTCGTAAGAATTTCGTTAACCGAATTTTTGTTCATTAACTGAATTGAAGATGATTATGGAAGGTAATTCATTAACCGAGGCGTTCGTTAATCGAGGGACCACTGTATTACTTTATGTACAAAGAATAGCTTCTTCCACACAAACAATCCTCTTGGCAATGTAACACAGTTCGGCTTGGCAGTCACTGGAGGGGTACAGCCTCCCGTGCGGGTCATCATACGTGTTATGCCATTCTGAGATGCGTCATCACATCTCGGAATATTGTGTTATTGCTTATCACTTTTTCATAGCAGTGACAATGCAGAAAACCAGTTGGGTAGCGACCGAGTTTGTATGTTATGTGAAAATATAATGGTTCATTAGGCTTGTATAACAGTCTGTACTATTCCAATCAAATATTACGATGTAAAATATGGTTGTACAGTATACATAAATACCATTAGTGTAGCATCAATCCGCATGTACCATTTGTATTTTATATTAAGAAAAATAATGTTTCATTAATAATGACTAACTGCTATTTGTCCTAATGTTAGCCTATAAATTATACATGGCATAAGGGTAATTGGCCATACTTCAGCTTATTTGTATCTATGGGTCATTCAATGGGGTAGAGGCCCGAGGATGTTGAATTTCTGAGATCTGAATGTTTTACCTTTACTGTACTTAATGCCTGAGGCTAATTTTATTTTGGGGGCCATTATTGTGAAGATTTTTTTATAAACAATCCATGTACAGTCCCCCCAAAAAGTATAGCTAGCCAAGGGATTGATGTGATTTGAGGCTTTCTGAGCAGTGTTACTTGACCTGTTTCTGTATATACGTTTTCGAATTATTTGAATCCTCCAAGGCTTCAGAACATATATTATATTACTAAGAGTGGATGTCATACATGGATAATAGTGCCATGCCAGGAGTGGATGTCATACATGGATACTAGTACCATACCAGTCGTCAACGTGATTTTACAGTGAATGGAGCGAGGAATTATTGGGAACATCACAAGATGGAGAAGTGCTATCATTGCCCTTCACTACAAGGGTATACGTAATGCTGACATAGACTGAAACTTGCACCCACAAATGTTTTACTATAGGTGGATGGAGGGGTTCTTCTGTTGCCTGCAAGTTCCTTGGTTTAAAACCTTTTTTTTTTGCATTAAACCAATGCAATTTACGTATCATAAACATGGCAGATCCCATATAGATTGATATATTGTATATTACTGTAACTGTTCACTCTAATATCAAGTACATGAGTAGGCAGATTGTGAAAGTAAGTACAGTATGAATGAAATTCTGTTAGTACGATGATGTAATGGTGAAATGTCCTTTTTGAGGTCTCGGTCTGTTATGATCAAAACACTGTGGCTTGTTTATAATACATACATTAATATGTATATAGCTTAATGGATTTCTTGTTATATTAAAGTATCTACAGTACAGTAGTATGCCATAGAAGGACGAAATCCTCCCCCAATTTTAGCTGTTGCTGATACAGCGAGCAGGCGTACCTGCAACTTATGATGATGCACTGGGGATCATTTCAAAGCATTTCGTTTTGTGTTTCAAATTGTAGCAATGGAAAATCTAGCATTACTTATTTTGAGGACTGTACACTCTTCCCCCAAGGTTGTTAGCTATATACTAAATCGAGATATATAATTACTTGTAGTCAATGGGAGAAATAGGGTTAGGTTCTGGAGGCCAGTAAAAGACTAAACTTGACATAAAATGGCAGTCTAAAGTTAACAGAATATAAATTGCATTGCTAGAATTCTTGTAAGACAGTGAATAATTTGACTATAGACATCATATATTTTGCACAAGATAAAATTTTTAGTCCTTTGTACCAAAATGTACAAATAATTGCTAAACATTTAATGTTTAGTGAAAACTATTACATGTTTATATTCAAATTAATCACTATCTTACAAGAATTCCAGAAATGTTAATTATATTCTCTTAAGTCAATTCATTGACTTTTATAAGAGGAAAACATAAACTCCCTCTATGAAAGAGAAATAAATACCACTTGGTAACCGCTGTCTGCGCTCTGGCCCAGTTGTCATAATAAATCAACTTCTCTCCGACTTCCCCGAAGGGTGACTGTGGTTTTAGGCTTAAAGTTTTTATCTTATAAAATGTGACAGACTAAAGTTAGCAGAATATAAATTACATTGTTGGAGTCCTTGCAAGACTGCAAATAATTTGAATATAGACATAATATATTTTGCACAAGAAATAAATTTTTTAATCTTTTAAGAGTACATTTTAGTACAATACTGTACAGTTTTCAACTCATTTTTTGGGCTTTATGTTAGGTCTCTTAAATATAACCCCATGTAAGTTGTGAGTCTACTGTAAATAAATTTATCACTATATATTGGGAAATATCGATAATTTTGGTAGTCGTGATAAATTTGAAATATTTCCTGCCCGATTTCCCTTGCAAAATAAAAAAAATTATCGCTAGATATAGGAAAATCTTGATAATTTGGTAGCTGCAATAAAAAAAAATCTTTATATAAAGTCGCTATATATCCTGACCCTATTGTATAGCAATTACAAGTTTATTATGATGCCATATCCAATTACAATGACATTATTATATACTGTACTGCATTTCAAAATTATTTCTACCCCAATTGATGAGGTAACAATTTTGAGTATAACATATCATCTCATGATTCATTCTGGCAACGGCTCATTATATGTCGGTGTAAGCTGTGTTTTTCATTGTGTTGGTCATCGATTACCAGCAGAAAACGCCACTATTTGACTGCCGCTGATATATTTTCGCTACATGTTATTCTACTAAAGATGGAGCATGGTGATTTACCATAATTACAACACATGCCAGAAATAATTACTGGCAACCTCACAGACACTAGGAAGGCTGGCCTACCAATATATTACAGGAATCACAATTAGTCATCGGAAATATTCGTCCATTGCGACATTGTATTGATGAAAAACGGAGCAGATACTGTTTTGGGAGAGCGTACATACAATAGAGTAGAATATTTACAGTTTACTTGTATGGTGCTTTGGCTAATTAAGAAACAAATTTATGTACAGTACACAGTAGCTATTACTGTACCACTAGTGTCTAATAAAGGGTTAAGAAATACACACTCTGACTATAATAAAATGTTGAGTATTGATATGTGATGGCAAATGACTTTATAAGCATCAGCATATACAATAGTTGCATCAGTTTAAAATTTTCTTGATTTTGAGGTAAATCACAATAACAAAAGAATAAGCTTAACATCAACAAATACTGTACAAACACTTATTTTCAAATAATAATCAAATGTAGCTGCTAAATTCATAATTTGCTGTCATTTTATGGTGTTCATTGAAGGAAAATAAAAAAGATAGAAGTCACTAAATATGCTTTGCCATATCAAAATTATGAGGGATAGAAAATATAATTTTCTATTTGACAATTTACATAAGACATGAGTGCATAAATGAGAATGATAAATCTTAATGAAGTCATTTGACAAGCTAGTCTATATCTCCTTGATCAACAAGTATCAGAGGTTTACTCCACTTGAGTACAAAATTCAGATCACTTACTTCATTACCAATATATATATATATATATATATATATATATATATACATATATATATATACATATATATATATATACATATATATATATATATACATATATATATATACATACGTATATATATACATACGTATATATATATATATACTCCCACACCAGCTTTTGTGTTTTGATAGCTGAATGAATCATACATTTTGCATGCCCCCCACGCCTTAGTCAGGCTGATTTCTATCAGTTCACAATTGACTGGATGATGAAGATAATGTTCAATTACTTTACTTTAAGGAATGATAGCATGCTATGCCTACACTGCACTACTACTACACCATAGCTGATGCTGGCAGTGAAGAATGCTTGGGTTTCTCTTTCTTCAAGAACACTTTGATGCATCCATTGAAGTCAGCAGAGACAAGTGCATATCTGGAAGTAGTCAAAGGATATTTGTCAAGAAATATTTTGCAGGAGGAGTTATCTCTCCCACAAAAGCAGGTTTTGAGATTAAACATACACATAATTAGAATATGAAAAGGGACCATACTGCTATTTCAAAGGAAATAATTTCCATTTTTAGATATGGAGTGGAAAATGTGCTAAATAACAAAAAAGTAAACATTCACTATATATATATATATATATTTTTAAGGGTTAATGTAATGGCATATCCCTAGAATAGTAAAACCGAGAAAAGCAAAAAGTGGATTTGACTTTATTTTCCTAAGAAAGAAAATGGGTCTCATAAGCCTGATGGCTCTAGGGACAGTAAGGATACTACACATAAAGCCTCCAGTACACAAGAAAGCAGCATGCCCAGCACTGCATGTTACCTTTACTTCTTCAGCTATAAAGTTGGATATACTGTATACTGTATTCACAACTGTGTGCAAACCAACAACCTATAAGGACAAGCACTATAGCCACTTGGCTGCTGTACCCCTTTTCTATGAATAATACAGTATTCTAAAAGAGTAAAAAATGAGATGCATCACAAACTAAAGCTAATGAACAAATCCAGAAAGTTAACAGGTGATGGAGGCTGCTGTACCATAACTCACCTAAACAAAGAAAAACTTATCTTCCAGTTTCATAAATTCATAAAAAATCTGTCTTCATTTTGCATTGTTACCTTATTATATTACCACCAACATTTTACTGCCATTGTCCACACTTGTTATGGTTACCTGATGGCAGCTCAGAAGTTGCCATCAGGCATAAAAGCAGTTTTATGGCTGGATGCCCTTCTTATCACTGACTCACAGGGAAATAACTTTGTATGCATCATTTCTTTTCAAATGTATGGAATTTTGCATAGTATACAGATATGGGACTGTTTATCCGGTGTCCTGGTACAGTGGGGTATGCTATAACGAATCTAATTGGTTCTAGAACCTTGTTCGTTATAGCATTCGTTTGTTATAGGATTAATCCGTTCCAGGCCCTCAAATACAACCACTTAACACTGAAAAATATAATATAAAATTGTAAAAATTGTAAAAAAGTGCATAAATATGCATCTAAACCCCTGAAATAAAGAATATCATTAATATTTGTAATAATAAAACAATAAATTAGAAAAAAAATAAAATTAAATTATGTTCGTTGTAGGAGATTCGTTCATTATAGCATTCTCAATTTTATAGGTAAAACCGTTCGTTATAGGAATATTCGTAGTAGGATCCGTTCGTTATAGCATACCCCACTGTATCTAGAATGCTCCCAAAAACTGGATATATTTTGTAACAAATTATTTAAAAGGAGTGCCCAATAAACTGAAAACTTCCAACCATTCCCTACCTGTGAACTTTTTATGTTATGTTATGGTTACTTTTCAACTCATTATTTCAGGTAGATACACTTTTTTCTTTTTACCCCCAGGTTCCAAGCATGTCAGATAAATAAGTGGGAAAAATTTTCATATTGGACTAAATTTTACAAAATCTTCAAATTGTGTTTGCCACTTTTTACTTAAATCTAAATTATAAACTTACCCTTTATTAGTTGTACCACTGTCTTTGTTTTGGTTTTGCTGCTGTTGATGCTGGTGTTGTTGCTCTTGTTGTTGTTCACCAGATTTATTGAGAATCTCTTGTTGTTGTTCAATAAAGCTAAAGACCAACTCAGGATGAGGAGCAAACACTGCACATGTCACAACAGCACTGTGAGCTGTGAAAAAAATCCTAATATTAAAATGTCACTATAATAAATCAAACACTTAACCAACACTTTAAACAATGGTGGATGAATCACATACATCTCAATATACAAACAGGGGGCTCTATCGCTAATGCCTTATTGTGTATAAGTACTATCTTTCCACAAATCTGGAGGAGAAACTTGGTGCAGCAACCCACCACAAGTCTTCAAGAGTTTCAATTCATTTTAAGGGATCCAAACTAGTTGGTGGTACAGCAGTAACACATAGTTTACACCACTAAAGGTACCCCTCTACATTGGAACTTTTAGAGATATAAATAAAGCTGTCAATATCTCCAGTAATATAATGTACAGTATATCCAATTGAGCTGCTCGAACCGAGAGTCATCAGTACAGCTGCTATTCATACATTAAAATACAGTTAAAGACTGGGAAGATATACTGTAGAGTAATGGGCTGCATTTATTATTGGGGTATAGCTGGTCTGCACATCCTTTATTTTTATAAGTAGAGGAACGCCTGTTTATCATGGGATCAGTCTTGGCCCAGACCCATGTGGGAAGGGTGTTATACAGTGTGACCCTACCAAACATCACAGGTTTTCTCCAGGTACTCCACTTTTTTTCTGTACTAAACTGGACAATAAAAAATCATGATAAAAGTAACAAAATTCCGACCAACCACCTAATGACTAATAAACTGATAAACTAGTAAACTGATAAGTGGTGATTGATAAATTAAATTATAAAAATAAATAAATTATGACACCAAACACAAACCATTTACAGTATAACATATTAAGAAAAAAAATTTCACTTTTTGAAATGTGATAAAATATATATGGTATGCAAAGAACATAGGGTACTGAGGCTTTGTATCTTTTCAGTAGCAATTGGCAAGCACAAAATTTAGACATAAGACTGGGCAGGTATGTATTAAAAATTTACATGATTGCAACAACACTGATTATACACATAAATTAAGTGAAAAAATATTACTTATATTTTTGACAACTAGAATAAAATTATTGAATAACAGTAAAGGTTATTGGTTTCGAAAAAAATAACCATAATTGTTTTTTAGTGGATAAATAAAGGGAACTTCCTGTGTGAGAAACAGAACTTGAAAGTGGTATAAGAAATCTTATTGCAGTGATCCCTCGGTTAACGAACGCCTCGGTTAACGAAATTTCGGTTAACGAACTGCCTTCCATAAGAATCTTCAATTCGGTTAATGAACAAAAATTCGGTTAACGAATTTCTTACGAACCGACCTCAACATGTTTTCGCTTGCACTGGCCGGGCAACCAGCTTTAGTATCAGTCCGCCAATACATTAATCGGTTCTAGGGCTTAAATTCCTTACGATTTTAGTAAATATCAATAAGTTTATACTATTCAATAATTTTAAAAGTTTAATATTCAATTTTTTAGTCATTTTAACAATTATTGAACATAACTGAAGGTAAAGTGACTAGTTTAATGCGCGGCATCCAGCCTCTTAACACAGCAAACAGGCATTAGTCTCTCTCTGTTTTCACCGGAGGTAACATCTTGCTTGAGACTCTCTTAAACTAAATGCTTTTTTTCTGTGTTTCCAAGCAAATTATTGGTCATTTTGAAATATATTTTACATATTGACAATATATAATGCAGTGCAGTGTTGATTTAAAGAAAATAATCTTGAAGAACTAAAATTTTATGGGTGAAATGGTGCCATGGGGTGACTCTCTTCCACCCCAATGCCTTCTCTTCTTCCTTCTCCTCCACCCCCATTCTAATTCCCATCATCATCATCATCATCCAGGAGCCTTCTACATACACACCTCAAAGTAAGTGTACTTTTCTACCATTTTTGTTGAATTTAGGCAATTTTCGGTGAGCTGGAACCAATTACCCAAAAACCCATTGAAACAATGGTTTCGGTTAACGAACAACCTGCTGGAACGGATTGAGTTCGTTAACCGAGGGACCACTGTATTTGTTTGAAACTGACTTACAACTATAGCAGCTACTTATAAAAGCTAGAACCATCCATGAGAGATTTTTTTTAACATGTACACAAATGAACCACTTGGCACACTAGCCCTTGAATTTAGCCTATTGGTGACTTGGTACTTTGAAAATACAGGTATCTCTCTATTTACGATGGGGTTACATTCACGAAAAACCCACCACCAGTCGAAATATCTTAAATCGGGAGCATGGGGTTCAATGGGGTATATTCCCAGCCAGTCCGACACCTACATGTATCACTGAAAATAAAGTTCCTACAATAATAATACAAGGTATATCTAAAACATTAAGAACAAGCCTGGTCTTCATCACATGTCCAGAAACATGTTTTTGTTCAATCCAGAATGCAACGTCTAGCTTTATACCTAGGTATGTAAATACCTAGCATTTACTCGCCAGGTCAACATACAGTCGACCCTAGTTAATTCGGACTAATAGGGGAGGAAGGGTGTCCGTTTTAGCCGATTGTCCGAATTAACCGATTTAGGGGTTAATATTGCATTATATTTCAGGCAATTAAAACATCTAATAATTACTTAAATATGTAATCTTGAGAGGACACGTCGCTACCTGGCATTTAATTGCATTCTCAAAACCCCCAACCCTACCCTCCATCACATGCACTGCCACCTTCATTTTCTTGCCTGGCGAATCAGATGTAATTAGGCACAAGGAAAGCTTTGCTAATTTGTGTTGTAATAGCTGAAATACTAAGTACTACGAGGATTTTATATTTGGTATTTATACATCTTAGCACGGTGAGGAAATCGAGTGACATTTATTTTGTTTATGTCTCTCAGATATTGTGTTGGGGCAGTCCTCCCAGCACAAAATTTCACGCTTGCCGAATAAGCATTTTATTCTTACTGAAGTTAAGTTTGATCGTGTTCAACGCATCGGGAAACCCAACTCCTCCCGCCCCTGTGACATCATAACAATGTTCTCTTCCCCCCTCTATTCGTGACAAAGTCTTTTACAAGCACAGTAAGCTGAAAGGCACTAATATCTTCGTCAACCTATACCTAGGGACGACTAAAGCCCACCAACAGCAAATGGGCAAATTTAAAGAAGCCAGGAAACATGGGAAACACATGATGTTCAGCCATAAAACCCTTGTTGTGAGGTACTCTTGGGCAAGCGAACACCCACCTGCTGTACCAGCTCCAATTCTACAATATCCTACACCTGAACGTCCGTTTGACACAGTTGCGATTGACTAAAGTTAGGACCTGGATAATGCCTTGAAAAAACCAACTACACAATCTTTCACAGAAGGAAAAACCTTCCCCCAGGTTTGGAGCCCCTGTACCTTGGCAAATACAGTCTTCAAATGTGAACAAAATACTGAATTCCTTGGGGTTGCTGTTATGAGAAACTTAGCTGGAGAAACCTCATAGCCATTCACAGTGCAGTATCCTGTATAACACTAGTCCGTCACTCACGCTTGCAGCTATGAAAGAAATCTATTATGATCTTGTTTACCAACACCTGATACACTGTCACACACTATGGAGGGCCTCTGGCTCTTCAAAAACACAACCCTGATTACTGCACAGAAGAGAGTTATGCAGAGAATGATCGACTTGAAAAAAAAAAAAATGACCACACCAACGAACAATTTGCTATATTGAAAATGTTAAAATTCGAGAATGTTAATACCAACTGCTGTGCCCTATTTGTTTACAAATCTGTCAATCACTTGATTGACAATAATTATTTCCAGTTCTGGAATAATCAGAGATACAACTTAGACACCCAGAGCTACTAAGACCACCCCCCATGTGCCCCTCTCAGTCCCAGACCTCCATAAAATATCACGGTGTGAAGGTGTGGAACAACTTATCCCCACCCATCTGAGCAAAGACTACGCTCCCTTCCTTTAAATCATCTCTTAAAAAAATCTTTTGTCTAAGTATTAATATTCTTGTAATACCTACTTTATATTCCTGCTTATATTGTACAACCCAAACCAATTTATCATAGATTATGTTATGTCTGTGGGTAGTTTTAAGTTGCCGCATTTTCGTGGCTGGGACAGGAGCCATTCGTTCTAGAGACAGTACATGGTGTGTGTAGACACAAACACACATTAAATTTTTAAGAAAAAAATAAAAATGTAAGTCCTGCTTATTACTTACAAGCACGGACTTGAGGGTAGACTCACAATTTCTGATTATTTGTGAGAGTATTTTCCCATTATTATTTATTTGTATGTGTTTTGTGTGTGTGTGACTATACATTGAGCAAACACATAAAGAGAATATATACATTTCATTGTACACAAGTAAAAATGTAACCCCCCAAATGTTATTCGCGGATTTGATGATTCGCGGCCATTTTGAGAACCTAATAAATAAATACAGTAATACCTCGCTTTACGCGGTCAATTGAACCCACGGAGGCCCGCGTAAAGCGGGAAACGCATAAAGTGAACAACAGAACATATGGGATTAATTGAAATAGAGACCGGGCCGACCCCCAAACTCCACTTTTTCAGACACAATACCTATGTTGTAGTAAAAATAACTTCTTAATTTTATGATGGTATGCACACACAATTAATAATTAAGAGAAATATCAATAATATTAGGCTTTTTAACACTTACATTAGTAGAAAAGATGGCTGGGCACACGGGAATGGGGGGTTGGTTCCGAGGCAGAGGGCAGATTATTGGCCCTCACCTGTATCACTTGTATCATTTGTATCACTATCCACCACAGAGGCTTACACGACCTCTTTGTCAAACCCCTCAAAGTCCATATAAGTCCATATCCTCACTATCACTGACTTGGGCCGGCTGTGGTGGGTGGCAGGTGAAGAACTTGGTAATGTTTTGATGACTGGGCGACCTTGTGCGCACCCTACCCGCGCCGCTTCCCGCATATATGAATAGATGCACCGCGTAAAGTAAACACTCCGGTTCTGGCGGGGTACCGCGTAAATGTAGAAACGCAAAAAAAAAACGCGTAAAGTGGGGTATTACTGTAAATAAATAACGAAGTGATAACCATGGTAACATTCTGATATGTTCTTACTACCACCATGTTATGTGTACTATTCCAGATGATACAAAATGTTACATAATACTTCCTTGAGATAAACGTATAGTATATATCAACTGCCTCCAAGAGAGCTCAGGCTCTCAAATGGCTCAGCCATGTTAATATTATTATTATCAACTCTGTATCTGTGTTTTTCTGGCTAAATAACTGTTTCAAGATCAATATAAATAACAAATTGGTCTGTTAATTTGACTAAACTATCCAAATACCTTTTACTCCTTCCCAATATAAGTTCCTGTCTCTTCGTGCTGAGGAGAACTTTGAGTAGTCATGATGAGTTTTCCAAATATATATACACTGATTCTCACTCCCAGCAACAATATATTTTCCATCGTGACTGGAAGAAAAAATACAGATCATTATTAAAAATAGTAATTGAATATACAAAAAGTAAAAGAATGTTCAATGCACAATATGCCATGCCAGAAGAATGTTGAAGAATTGATAAAATTATTTTAGCTGTGAAATACCAAACACTGAACATTTGTGTATACAATATTACAAAGTACAGGTACATTATGAATGTATACTGTATGACATACAAATACAAGGTGAAACTCCCTATTTGTTTGCAAAGTAAAGATGTTCAAAAGGGTATAGATAGTTCTGACTTACCTGAAACCTGCCCTAATTTGACTAGACATGTTTGAATAGCCCTTGTACTTGCACGAAAGATTCAGATCTCGTAAGTCATAAAGTCGTATTCTGCTGTCATTACTGGTAATTAAAACCTGAAAAATAGGTCGAGTTTATAAAGAGAAACCGAAAGATATCATAAACTGTGAAAAAACCTAGCACAGAATGTTAATGGAATTAATAAGTGCTTATCTTATTTTTTCAGTCTCATAATAAAACATGAACATAAGTACAATACGTACTGCTTTTTGACCATAATGAGAGCATGTTTAGATTAAATGAAATTACCAGTTTACACAAAAACACAATGAGAGATAAGAGTGTGTTGCAATGCCTGATCAAGAAAGTTAAAATTAAAATTACAGTACTGTACTTGGGTTAGAAAACACTAAAACAAAAAATCCCAAAGCATGAACCTGTCATAAAAAGAGGTTTATTTTTAGACAAAAACAGATGTCTTCCTCAGCCCTCTCACATTTTATAGCAACACCAAACTGACCAAATTTAAGATGCCATAACTGTATTTGCAAAGGAAACCAAATCACAAGGGGTCATATCTGTTAAAAATGAACATAAATATTTGTGATAGATAGACAGAAGTACAAAGAGCCAAAACAATACATCTTCCTCCAGTAGGGGGGAGGAAATTACACTTACACATCCAAATTAAAATCACTGAATAGATGAATAAATACATTACATATGGCTACCAAAATTTTCCTATATACAGTGATAATTTTTTTTATTTTGCGAGGGAAATCGGGCAGGAAATATTTCAAATGTACCGCCATGGCAAATAAATGCATTATTTGGTCACCAGACGAGCCACTGTGGCTGCTCACTCACGCATTCACGCTCGCTCGCTCAGTCTTTCTGAGTGAGTGACGAGAAAGCAGCTGACTTTGCTGCAGATTACGACTTCTAAGGTGAGTGTAAATGGGTTGCTAGTGACGTGAAAAGTGGAGTGAGGACAATGGAAAGCTTAATGGAAATGATTTAATACTGTAACTAATATTTTTGGCTTGTTCGTTTATGATTGTTAAGTGAGGGTGGCAGTGTTTCGTTTGTTGCTCTCAGGATGGCATGTCAGCTGCCGAATCTGGTACAGATTCAAATTTCTAAAGCGAGTGTACAGTAAATGGGTTGCTAGTGACGTGAAAAGTGAAGTGAAGATAATGGAAAGCTTAATGGAAAAGATTTAATACTGTAACTAATATTTTTGGTGTTCATTTATGTAGGTGTGGGATTGTCAAGTGAGGATGGCAGTGTGGCGTCTGCTGCAGAGTCTGGTGTTCCCAGAATGGTGCATCAGCTGCCGAGTCTAGTGGTCCTGAGTCTGGTGTTCCTTGATATTGATACTGAAATAGCCTGTTGTCCCCGAGTCTAGTGTTCATTGGTGCTTTAGTTAGTAAGAAAATGAACTCGTTAAGTCAAGTTTAGTCACTTTTTGGGCCTCCAGAACCTAACCCTATTTTCCCCATTGATTATATGTAATTATATATCGCGATTTAGTATACTCATATAGCGAATATCGTTGGACCTTATCTCGCGATATATCCCGACCCTACTGTAATGGGAAAATCCTGTCACAAATAATCAGAAACAAATGTTGAGTCTACCCTGAAGTCCATTCTGTGCTTTGTTTTTAATAAAGCACAGAGTAGACTTGAGGGTAGACTCAACAGTTTTAATACTACATTTGTTTCTGATTATTTGTGAGAGGATTTTTCCTATTATTATTTATCTGTATGTGTTTTGTGTGTGTGTGTGTGTGTGTGTGTCTACAAACACACACATATATACAATACAGGTAAACGAAATTGCTGTCTCTAGAACGAATGGTTCCCTGTCCCGGCCGCGAAAATGCCAGCAACTTTAAAACTACCCGCAGACATTCTTGGGTACATCCAGGGTGTCATACGTGAATAATAGAGGACCACGAAATAAAAATCCGCGTACTGTACAGCTTCCAACGAAAGTAGAATCCCGGTTATCCGGAGTCTGGGCAACCAGTAGATTCAACCAATCAGCACCAAAATGAAATAATACAAATAAAAATTCCTCCTAAATCAACTAGAATCGTAAGTTTGAATACTGCACATAATGGGGATGAGCTGCCATATTTAATGGACAGTTCTTTAACACTTATTCAACTTTATATAAATGATCTGAGCACAAGGTTAGCTAAATTTGAACAAATTTCAAACTCCAAATGTCAAAAATGAAAAAAAATTGCCAAGATAAACAATACATAGCATATATTTTATGTAAAAAAAATAGCTTCTTCCACACTCAAACCATCCTCTGGGCAACATGACCTATTTCAGCCATGCAGTTAACCGGCTAACTCACAGACGTGTGGCTGCTGTGCATCAACACAGTTACAGCCCACTGCCTCCACACAAGTTCACTTCCCACACATACACATTCCATGCTCTTCCTTTTTCTTTTTTTATAGTTATATATTATAGATTCTTTATTTCAAAGTCACATTAGAGTACAGTATTGGAATGATTTTTCCACAACTTTTATAGTTTCATTATATGTAACAATAAATGAGGTTGCTGGGCTGGCGATTCGGCTACGCAGTTACAGTCTACTACCTCCATACGCGTTTATTTCCCACACATACTCACCCATACTCTTCATTTTTCAATTTTATACTTTTATATTATATTTTCTTTATTTCTATGCTACATCATTATATAGAGTGGAATAAGTGTTAAAAAGTCTGTTTTTCCACAAATCCATGCATTTTCAAGAGTCTAAATGAAAAAAAATATAGACAAATGAAAAACCCATTAATTGAAAAAAATGAACTTCTGAGACATGAATTTCTAAGGTCAGCCAGTAACACTGTGAATTGTAAGATTTATTAGGGGATCCTAAGATTGAGGTTCAACTACCTGGACAAACTCTTTATCTGGCACCTCTTAATCGTCATAGGTGCCGGAAAACCAGGATTCTATTGTATATCCTCAAAAATTTTGTTAAGAGGACAATGAATTCACTGGGTCTATGAAATATTATTACAGTCAACCCTCACTTTACGAGGTTAATGTAACCCACAGGGTACCGCGGAAAGTGAGAAACGCATAAAGTGAATAACATAACATATGGGATTAAATGAAATAGAGACCAGCTGACCCCCAAACTCCACTTTTTCCAACACAATACCTATGTTCTAGTAAAAATAACATCTTAATTTTATGATGGTACATGCACACAATTAATACTTAAGAGAAATAGAGAAATACAGTCGCCAAGTTAATGTCCATTCAAATAATGGACTCAACTCCCTCCCCCTCTTCTCACACTACACTCGCTGGCTCTTCCCTCTCTGAGAAATTTTGGGGGAAAACCAGGTATAGTAATAAATAATACCTCAAACTAAAGTTAGGATAATATAATTGACATTGCTGGATTCCTTGTAAGACCAGGAATATTTTGAATATAAATGTCATATATTTTGCACAAAAGATAACATATTTACTCAGAGTAAACATTATATCTAAAATTTGTATGTCTAATGCAAAATCTATGATGTTTATATTTGAATTTTAAAAGTACTGCCTGAGAATCAGGAAAATCCAAAAATCCGGACCAACCCAATCCCCAAGCAGTCCGGATTTTTGGACTTCTACTGTATATTCAAATTAATCACTATCTTATAAAAATTCCAGCAATGTAAATTATATTCTCCCAGGTCACTCTGTTACATTTTATATATAAAAAAAAAAAAAATTAATAAATAAATCTAAAGGACATAAATAAACAAATAAATACTTCCCTAGACCTTCGGTGCAACTGTCAAACATGTCACCTCCCCTTCCTTCCTCCCTCCCTCCCTCTCCCCCATCTTCCCAGCCAGGGTTTGGTGGTTTTAGGCTTTAAGTTTTTATCTTATATAATATCACAGACTAAAGTTAGGAGAATATAATTTGCATTGCTAGAATCCTTGCAAGACAGCAAATAATTGGAATATAAATGTCATATATTTTGCACAAGAGATAAAAATTTTAGCCCTTTGTAATAAAATTAATTAGAACATGTCAGTTCAGTGACATTTTAAAAGAGAAAAGCTTAAAGTTTAAGGACAGATAAATAAATAAGCACTAGACCTTGGCATCAGCTGTCAAACATATCAACTCACCTTTCCCCCCCTCATGTTCCCATCAGCAGATCGCTAGTAAACATACCATTTCACATCCCATAATTTTAGCTGTGTTGATTTACGAGTGTTTGTTTTAACATAATACTACAAAAAACAATGTTTTGTTTATTCTAGGAGATGGGCTGAGGTGCATCTGCATAGACTCTCAGTCTTTTTAGTATTTTGTGTTTCTCTCAAGTACCAAACTAAATTATTCCATTGAAACAACACTTTGATTTAGTGCGAATTTGCTTTAAAGCGACCTCTCTTGGAATGTATCTCGTGTTATATCGACGTTCTACTGTACTGTATTTTATGGGCCAAAATTCTTGAACTGCTAAGATTAACAACATACCCAATAATGCCAAGCAAGAACCACCGGTCATAATATACTTTATCACAAAAATTATACAAGTCTGCTGATTCTATGAAAAGTTTTCTGGTGGAAATCAAATCTGTTATGTGTTGGACAGAGAACATCATTTATAATCCATCCAGTATTTTTATTTACTTAGCTTGCTCCACTCACTAGTACTGTGCAGTACTCTTTGTTTTCTTTCACTGCTTTTAATACCCCATCCATGAAAATATGCTTCCTTGAAATAGACCTACTAATATGGGAATGTAAGTAATGTAGTCATAGCTAAATAGTATCACTATACCTGTAAATATAAATGTATCATATGTAAACAATTCGAAGGTTTCTACCTTATCTTCACCAGGAAGGGGTTCAATGCCAGTAATTTTTCTGCCTTTTGCATTCTTTCCTCTTGTGGACCTCACATAGATCTGTGTGTAGTACTTAAGCTGCTCTGTTTCATAGAAGATACATCTGCCATCATATGTTCCCACTACAGTAAATTTTCCATTCTAAAAAGAAAAAATAATACAGGTTGCATTATCATCTGAACACAAAAAGAAATCTTCACAAAGAAACCTTGTTGAATATTTAATGTTTGCTTTGGTACGTATTAAGACGTTCTGGGGAAATGTTAATAAATATGTGACCAAGAAGTAAAAGTCTGCATGTCAGATGATACATACAGGGTCTTTATATTTTACTATAACAGTATCAAGATGTAGATAATTTATGAAAGCAGACAAGACCCAATACTGAATGGGGATAACAGTTGTCTCCCACCATATATCATAGCATTTAAGAAAATCTATCCTTCAGACCCAGTGACACATATATCCTTACAGAATATGTTTCTACATCCCTCCTTTTCTCTTGTTGTATCACAAGTCTTAAAAATAGCAGAAAATTCATCATGGAAAAATAAAAAAAGATATTTCAGGGAGGAGCTGAAAAATAATACTGTCTCTCCTCGACTTATGACATATTTGACTTACAACAACCCGGACATACGACGGCCACAGTCGTATAAAATATTTTTCACATTACGTACTTTCGAGTCCCGACGTTAGTAATAGCGCTGTGTACTGACAAAATTTTCGTTTGTAATTCCCTTTAAAATGGCTGGCAAGCGCAAAAGTGCGAGTTCTCGTGGTGCTAAGAAGAAAAAGAGACACCCTTTTTAGAATTTCTATGTATTATTTTTGCCTTTTTGACTTACGACCAATTCGACTTATGACCTGGTCATCGGGACGGAACCCCGTCGTAAGTCGAGGAGAGACTGTACAGTAGTACAGTATAATCTCGTGTTTTTCGCGTTTTTTTTTATCGCGGTTTTGACCTTTCACATTTTTTTTAATAAAAAATTATATATATATATATATATATATATATATATATATATATATATATATATATATATATATATATATATATATATATATATATATATCCCACCCAGGCGCAGGTCATCGACCCACGACGGGGCCTGAAGGGCAAAAAAATAAGAGTAAAAAGATATTAAAAATTGAAGAGAAAAGGACTAAATTAATCTACACCACGAAGATGCCAGAAAACCAGCTAACAAGCTAAAAGAACTAAGCTGATAAAAATGAGCTATTGAAATAAGATTAGAGAACTAACTTGGCAAAAGTTTGCTGCAGTAATAAGGTTCGGCTGACCTCCCACTTCATTCCACAAAACGACTCTCTTATCTGGGATGCTCCATAGCCGCAGTTTTCCATCAAGTGCTCCAGATATGAAGTAGCGGTCATCCTGTACAGAGCAAACACTAGACATCATGCATATGCACAAAACTGAATGAGCATTCACATCTTACCAAACAAATGTAATGTACTTGTATCAAAAAATACTCTAAATTAAGAGTTTTACTAATGTGACAGTTCAACCTCAAAGCCTGTTATCTTATATAAATTTTAGCAAAACAAAACCTTACAGTCTGTAGAGCTTATAGTACTGGTACTTATTAAAAAAAAAAAAAAAAAAAAACACTGTCAAGTATATAAAGTTCCATATTGGGATGCAGAATTATGGATTGATTAAAAGGGTAAAATATCTGGTTTCAAAGCTTAAGCAGAATTAAAGAAACAGGAAGAACTTACACATGTACAAGAACAATGAAAGATTGAATAGAAGAATAAGCTTTGACTATAGGGGGACACAGTTCACTGCCTCAGTACAACATCTGAATCATCCCTTTAAATTCTTATTAAATCATCCTCCACCCAAAAGACAAAGTGTATTACAGGACCCGATTGACAGTAATGCCTGCAATCTGTGATCTATTCGCAGACAAATCTGAGAGAAAATCTGAATATTCTTTAAGATGAAATAACATAATTTTTCATAGTTTTGAGTGATTATATTAAATTTAGAGATATGCAATATTTTATTTGTTACTGACTGCTGTGTCTGGACTCTGAAATAATTATAGCTAGCCTAGATTGAAATTTAATGACAGGAAGACACAATGACCAAGAAAAATATAATGTGCTAGGCAGGTGGGCACTGACATAAGAAGTGTGGATTTTTTCTGCATCATTTTAATCATTGTTTTCACTTTGAACATCTCTCAGATAATCATAGAAACCATAATAAGCATCTGGTGGCTGGCTGTCCAGATTGTAACTTGTATTATTCACAAGAAAGGAAACGGCAAAAATTATGATTAATCGAGTGTGCTGCTCAACCTGAGCCAGGCCTGTATTATTTCTATATTGTAGGTTACCTAACTAAGCTTTGATTCTACCCATGTTAATTCTTTATTTTTTCAAAATAAACTTTAAAGTTAGTATTAAAATTTGTATATGTGTCAAGATAATATGATAAATAAACTTTGGTATTACTATAAACTAGTAAAAAAAATCAGACAGATTTAACTTAAAATGTTACAAATTGCAGACAAATTTGAAGTTTATGTCAATGGATACAGGACAACACTATAACTACACTGAAACATATCCCACCTACAGACACAAACAAATGCAACAACTTAGCGATCTTATCCATCTGAAGACTTCAAACAACCAACATACTGAACACACCTCCAAATCCACAACCTCAGAAACTACTTCCATGAGAAATGAAGCACATTACACTACTGTCGTTTTGGTCACCACTCTTCCCTGTACCAATCAATATCAACACATCCATAACACATCCATCTGCCCACACTGCAATACTACATCACACACAGCAACTCATCTTCTCACTACATGCTTGACATTTAGCCAACACAGACAAACCTTTAACATGATTTTCATGAAAACTTCTGCAAGTGAAAGGCAGTTTATACTTAAGTAGGGTCAACAACAACAACCACAGGATTCTATGAGAAATAAAATCCAACCAATGACCTATCTTTTTGAAAGTATAATCTGATTTACTTCCACAATGAAATGAGTAAGATTTTCACTAACACAGGAAAACAACAGCACTCTTACCTTTGGATGGAAAGCAATAGCAGTGACAAAGTCCATGTGCTGGAATATACACAGGCATTCCTTGCGACTAATGTGCCAAAGACGTACTGTTTTGTCCATAGATGATGTTAATAAGAAGTAATTCTGAAAAAAAAAATTATATATATATATATATATATATATATATATATATATATATATATATATATATATATATATATATATATATATATATATATATATATATATATATATATATATATATATATATATATATATATATATATATATATATATATATATATTTATTTATTTATTTATTTATTTATTTTCATGTGCAGACATAAAAAAAAATTTTTACCTGTTAAAAGTGAGAAAAAGTTAATGTAATTGCACATAACCATTAAGAACTATACATAAATACTGATGTACAGTTAGCTTCAATCCTGCATTTACCACTTAGCATTGCCAATCCTCTCTCAATGAGCTGTGAACTCCAAACTCTGAAGTGTGAATTCGAAACATTCTTCAGTGAGCCGTAGGCTGAGGGTAGGAGTGTGTCGGGATAGGTGTCTTTCTATCAAAATTGTTTTACAATAAATATATGGTTCCCACTTCCTGATTATTTTGATTGCTAATTAAGCCCTTCACTATGGTGTCTTCTTAGCTATTTTATTCTGGTTACCGTCAGACGATTTTATTCAGCTGGGGAAGTTCCATCTCATAGCCAAAGGGTTAAACAAAACTTTGCTTCTTCTACAAGATATAGATTCAAATATATCCATAATAAATTTGCTCATAAATGCCTCCTTTTTATTGTAACTTTATTATTTTCATCTGGTTAGCGCAAGAGGATTACACTCGGCTGAGGAAACCTGGTCAATATTGTTAAAGCGTTATTTTGCCCTTCTCACCCCCAGTACCCCATCTACCCCCAGAGATAGACACTTCAGAGTTCAAGGTTCACATCTCAGGGAGAGAGAGAGAGAGAATTGACAATGCTAAGTGGTAAACACAGGATTGGAGCCAACTGCACAACAGAAACTCAGCACAGGAAGAACCTTTCTTCAACATAACTACAACTTCCAAAGATGTGTAAAGTCAGAAACACTCCTCAAAATCCCCTAAATCGCCCTTAAATCACTATATACGCCCCCCCCCCCTGTATATGTACATATACACTAAAACTTGCTGGGAAGATGGGGGAGAGGGAGGGGGGGTTGGGGGCGGTGAGGTTATGTATTGTGACAGTTGGCACCAAAGGTCTAGTGGTATTTATTTATCTGTCCTTTAGAGTGACTAAGTTTTTCTCTTATAAAATGTCACTGAACTGACCTGGGAGAATAAAACTTACATTGCTGAGATTCTTGTAAGATAGTGATTAATTTGAATATAAACATGCTATAGTTTGCACTAAACATAAAAATTTTAGTAATTATTTAGTACATTTGAGTACATGTACAGTACAGCTTTGCCCTTAGGACAGTGTGTGCATGTAAATGAGAAAAAATAAATGAAGAAAGGTTGGCTTGTGTCTGGGCATTATGAACGAGTATGAGAGAGGTTTAAGCGCACTAAATTGACACACACGAGAGGCAGATGTTACTCCGACAATACCCACGTGGCAACTGATGAGGTGGGATGGTGGGGGTAGAGCTTTGGCGGACTAGCTTCTGGCGCGCTTCTGACCCATTTTGAAAAATTTTTGTTGGAAATTGTAACCTAACCCCCGGGGTAATCCGCGTATATTGTAGTTGAAATCGCATAAGAAAAATACGCGCAAGATGCGAGTCTATTGTACCTTGAAAATTTAGAAAGGGTGTAAAAAGTTGAAAATTTTGTTAAGGGTAGAAGGGAGTTATAGGGCTTGAATTGATGTATATATGATCCTTGATTGATGACAGAAACATCATAACAATTGGCCAAAATTAAAAGCACCTACACCTTAAAGCAAACTCCCCTCTTAAGTGATGCAAATGTGAAAAGAAAGTTATCTGTAAATCTTCATTTGTATCAGGTATTTGTAGATTTAAAGATAAATTTTGCAGATATGGCATTAATAGAAAGTTATAATTGTAAGAATTCAGAACTGGTTACTGCTTAGCTCTGACAAGTTGGGTGCCTGTTGTATGGATACTAATCGTCTTGGTTATCATCATTAGTACAGTACAGTAATCATAAATCCAGTTTTTATATTTACAAAAAAAAATTTATTAATTAAAACTAATAATTATGTGTTTTAGTAAGCAATAACAACCTGAATTTTTTATTCTGGGGTTGAGCTAGGCAGAAATTAGTCTACTGGAGACAGTAACTGGGGGATTCATTTGCCTATGGGAAATTCAACTGCACATATAGGATGCAGGCTGATTATTTTTTAGCCATTTTTAAGAAAAAAAGTATGTGACTTATAAGCTGTAAAATACAATAAATGTTAGAAAAAGTTTATATTAAAATATTTATGAAGAACATGGTTTGTCTATATTAAACATCTAACCTTAGACCAAGATATATCAAGCATGTCTGCTGAGTGTCCAGTGTAAACACAGAATGGCTTGGGCATGAAAGGTGCACTGCCATCATCATTTGGGTCCAAGGAGCCAGGGTCTTCTCCTGATTGTCCCGAGTGCTGGGACATAAGTGATTCTTGAGATGGTGTCGGTGATACCTAAAGAAAAACAAACATTGAGTGAACTCATGTAAAGTAAAGAAATGCTACTGTAAAATACTTGTTTTGATATAAGGGTTGAGTAATATACCTATGGCAGGTTTAGTTCGGAAATTCTACTACAAAAAATATGGATCTGGAGGCAAGCTTACAGTATATCACGACAAATAACCACCAGGTACTTTATACGAGATCTAACCTTGATATCAGCATTACATTTTGTGCGTATATCAAGAAAGTAGTTGAAGGCCTGTTTGAGGACCCAAACCCGCAATACATGGTCTTGTCCAGCAGTAGCCAATAAGCGGCCACAACCACTAAACTTCATGCACCAAATTGGTCCTGTGTGTTCTCCTGAAATAAGAATAAATCAAGCATAAATTCTGGCTACAATTATCTTCATAAAATACTTCAGGCATTGAAATGAAATATGGCATATAATTTTACAAATATAAACCAGTGAAGTAACATCTAGGTCACTCAAGTATAGGTTTATAACATTCATATTACCAGTACAAGTACTATTATTGTATCATTTAATATATTTCATCAGGTCCCATTTATTGATTACTTCAACTTCTATTTCAGGTACACTGTTGACATTCTGCTGACAGTATTTGTTCTTTAGAGTCACAGGACTATAACAACAGTTGTACAGAGGCATAGGTATCTCTCCACTAAGCCATGTATATTCACATGGATAATTATGAGAAGGGAAGGAGATGTTTGTGTAATACCGTATAGAACTACTTTTTGTAAAATATATATGTGTAATTGTATTTTTTATGTATTATGTATGATATTTATTATTTATTAAAGCGGTATTGGAACAATTTATTTTAATTTTTTACTCTGGAACCTAACTAATTACCAGTATTTTCATTTACATCAATTTAACAATAATTTGTGACTTGATAATTTATGATGTCTTCTGGTACCAAACACACGAATCATCGCAACTTCATTGTACATAGTGCCCATTAGCATGCCAGTGCTTTCATCAATTTTAACCTAGGTATTGTATTCACCACCATCAACCTAAATTAATCTAGGTACTGTATTCACCATCATCAACAACTTAGGTTAACACAATAAAAATGCAATTAACCAATCACACACATTAAAGTTACTGGGTAGCTGTTATGTCCACACACCATAAAATTAGCTGTTATGTCTACACACCTTAAAGTTAGCTGTTATGTCCATTCACCTTAAAGTTAGCTGTTATGTCCTTACACCTTAAAGTTAGCTGTTATATCAGTCAAATAAGAAGAAAAAAAATTCCTGGATACAAGGTTAATTATGTTACTCGAGCTAAAATAACAGACCAAGTTCCTTGTCCAAAATCTCAGCCGAACCAAATACAGTAAGTACAGTAATCTTGAGTTATTTTATAATTTTTTACTATTTTATTTTGTATATACAGTACTGTACCTAAATTTCTTTCATTTTCCTACATTTTGCCAGTCACTGATGTAATATTTAGCTATTGTTAGTAATAGCACAATTAATTAATGAAAAAAGTTTCATAAAGATATAATTTCTTCATATTTAAAATACCTTATGTCTTATTAACTACAGTATAATCTCTGCAGTGAGTAGTGACTGTGTGGATGCCATCCTGAACATATGCATGGCTGCATGCTATGATGCGATAGCTCCAATCTTTACATCTAGGACAGATTTAGTGTCATCCAAGGAAGAAAATCATCAAAATAATGTTAACAAAAATAGATTTCTTCCCTTTTCAGGGGCTTTTCTTAAGATAATAATGTATCACAGTAGAACCACGATAAACTTTACTAATTGGGGCAGACCCCAGTCCTAAAAATGAGAATCTAAGGTGGTGGGTTGAAGATAGCATTGCTTATCTGGACTGTTTAAAGAAAATCAGTTATTGTTATAATGCATAACAAGGTTATTAAAACACTATTATGTAAACAATAAAGAATATGAAACAAAACTCTCTGGGTTAAAAATCAGACATAAGTCTGGTTGCAGACAATTGTTTTCACCGAGATGATTGTTATGTACTGTAAAGTGTTATATGTAGGCCTAAGTAACCACAAAATTTGTCTTACGAATAAAGTGTACAGTACTATTAAGATAAAAATTAGTACAAATAATTGTAGGGCAATATTATGTGTGGGAGATGAGAGTCATCTGGTGCAAATGGGGGGGTGAAAATGAGGGGTGCAAAAAGTGGAGTTTGGGGGTCGGCCCAGTCTCTATTTCAATTAATCCCATATGTTCTGTTATTTCGTTTACACGTTTCTCGTTTTACGCGGACCTCCACGGGTTCAATTGACCGCGTAAATGCAGACTTTACTGTACTACACTAAAGGACTAAAATTTTTATCTCTTGTACAAACTGTTTTTTGGTTTTGTTTTATGTGCATTCGCCCACCCGGGCACAGGTCATTTTATAATGACCCACATCAAGGCCTGGGGGGCAAAAATATAATAAAATAAGAATACCTGTATTAATAATAATAAAATTAATAAAAATAAATAACAATTATAATAAAGAAAATATTAATATTACTAATATAGATTATAAATAATAATAATAAAAACAATAATAATAATAATAATAAAATTAATAAAAATCAATAAAAATAAATAACAATTAAAATAAAGAAAATATTAATAATACTAATAAAAATTATAAATAATATATACTGTAATAATAATAATAGAGCCATAAAAATAATCAAGAGTGAGAAATGATATATGTATGTTGTGTAGTCAAAATAAGAAAAACAATTGAGACCCTGCAATTGTGTGTAAATGAGGCAGAAAGTCACACCAGCAACCTGGGACTTGGTCACAATTTTTGTGATGCCATATGGCAGCAGGGTCTTCTACCATTAGACAATACATTATGCTTCCACTATCTTCCCAGGTGGTAGTACCTCCCTGTTTGATAGATGCATACTACCTACTACAGGTTGTACCTCTCTAGTCCGGCATTCTGTGGTCAGGAAACTCCCGTGATCCGGAACGATTTTAGTTTGTCCAATAGGTAGATAGGCAGCTTTTTTTCTTTCTTTTTTTTTTTTACTTATCTGAATTATTATTAATATTACAGGAGTATTAAATTTTTGCCCCTCAGGCCCCAATGTGGGTCAGTGACCTATGCCCGGGTGGGTTAATCCCCGTAAAAAAAAAACAACAAAGCAGCGGGAAATAAAGGTTTGTTTACATCCGGCAGTTCGGCTGCTCTCTCTCTCTCTCTCTCTCTCTCTCTGCTTGTCTATACAGAGTACAACATTTAACCCTTCAATATATATGAGCAGTAAATAAGTGTTGCTTTCTTATTCTTATGTAGAGTAATGACGATATGTTTTCACATGTGCGCACTTACATACGCGCAGTCTCACTTTTTTTTTTACCATTAATGGTTAGCTACTTACTATATTGTTCCATTTATTAACATTAAATAACATTACAGGAACTTCAAACAACTATATTAAATTTTTTACATTAATTTTACTACAGCTACAATCAGGGTCTTATTTTCTTCAGTTTTATACGTAGAACCAATGAGTCACTTATTTTGTAAGCTTTAACATAAACAATGCCGGCAGCCATCTCATCTCATCGTGTGTTTTAATATTCCACGTATTATTAATAAATTATATTGTTAATTTTGCACACACAAACATTAATTCAATAAAACCAAATTCAGAAACATTAATTAAAATATATATGAACAGTAAATAAGTGTTGCTTTCATATTCTTATGTAAAGTAATGACGATATGTATTCACGTGTGCGCACTTACATACGCGATCTCTCTTTTTTCTTTACCATTATCGTTAGCTACTTCTATTGTTCCATTTATTAACATTAAATAACATTACTTAAAACAACCATATTAATTTTACTACAGCTACAACCAAGGTCTTATTTTCTTCAGTTTTATATGTAGAACCAGTCAGTCACTGGTTTTGTAATCAACGAAAACAATGCTGTGTCATTTCCTCGTGTGTTTTAATATTCTACGTATTATTAATGAATTGTATTGCTCATTTTGCACACAAACATTAATTCAATAAAAAAGACATTCAGTAATAAACAATAATGAATCTTTTGTACATAAGAGAAATGACGCTGTTTACACGATTATGCACGTCGTCTGCACGTTGGCGGGCCGTTCAAACCCGTCGAAATTCAAGTTTCCACCGTCAAAATTTTTTTTTTTATTTTTTTTTTGTGTGTTCCAATAAAATACGTTAAGAATTAAAAACTCGCGAAATTTGAGAAGCTACTATACGACATTTAACCCTTCAATATGTCTTCAAAGAGACCATGATGCAGAGAAAGTGGTTCTAGTGCTTCCAAGCATAAGCACAAGTCACTATCTATCCAGGAAAAGGGTGAATTTCCATGGTCCGGCACTGGTCAGGTCCCGAGGTTGCCGGACTAGAGAGGTACAACCTGTACCAGTGATGTCTATGCTCAAATTATTCGCTATCTTGCAAGGATTCTAGCAATGCAAGTTATATTCTGGTAAGTTTAGTCTGTCACATTTTATAAAACTACCTTCACCTTGTTTTGGGAATGCTTCTTAGGGAAGCTTATAAGCCCAGATTTTTTGTCCGAATCTTCCGAAATCCGGATTTATGGGGTCCGAATCTTCGGACATTTTCCAAACAAATTTCCACAAGTTGCTGGTTAATGTGCATAATTGTTATCCAGTATTACTGCCAATTCTGTGGGTTGCTAGGGTCAGTCAGAGGGAAAATAATTATGATGCATTAAGCTATTTTCTTTGTTTTTGTACATTCTCTTTCTTTTTTGATGTAACAGAACACTACATTTCTTGGATGTGTTTTGTAAGTAAATAAACTTTTAAAGTTTTGTCTGGTGAATTTTTGGGCCTCTGGTCCTTAACCCCTTATTTTGTATGAAAGTATGAGTTCGTTTATATTGTGAATGTTTTCAGTTGTTATTTCACAAAATAACCTGAGGCAACTGTATTCACTTTACCCAGCCATTAATGTGAAAAACTGCTATTGCTTGAGTTACAAAACTTTTACATGTAATGGGTGTTTTAAACACATCACATCTGTCCGTCAGACTGACATTAAACTTAAACACTATTACAATACAGTATTACATTTTTAACTGCTATGATTGATGGAAGATAAGAGAGCCCTCCACGTACAACCCTACGTACCTGCTATTTCCTGGACATACATGAGATTGTCAAATTCTAGTGGTCCTTTGTGGCTGTGGGCAGTCTTGATCTGTGGATTAAATCAGTTGTTATTCAATCTTGTACAGGTACACCCTAAAATTGTATGAGATTTTCTCCTAAACTTTCCAATATATCATCTTTATTTTTAATACTAGCTCTTATAATCTATTCAGTTCTTGCACTTGCTAACTAAAAATCTGGAAACAGACAATCAAATATGCCAATTGGCTGTGAAAATAGTTTCTCTGTATCTGCCATGGGAACAGGGAAGTTCACAAGTACCTGTGTATGTACTGTATTTTATACATTATCATATATTATCTGAGTTACTTTTGGGAACAAAGCACAAGAATGGACATGTGGGAAGAGACAGATACATGAGAAACAACAACAGTCATGAGACTGAATAAAGCAAATGATTGTAGATGTGAAGCAAGTACTGCACTGTATAAATTTTTTTTTTTTTTGCTATGCTGAAGCTGTAACAGAACCTGAAAGAGTTATGTGCAAGTGGCCTACCAATATAACTTTCATAGACTGTAAATGTTGATATCATGTTGGCATAACAAACAATTGTGTGACTTCAGCTGATATTGCAATATTTGTACAAGGCTGTTCTCATTACTTTAAGAGAATAAGCAATATGGTGAATACTTAACCATTTTGCCCTGAAATATGCCTTCAATGATCATCACACAATGGCTCATGCTCCCCACAGTGATTGAAATTAAGTTTTTGTTGGAGGTGACGTGGGATAGACAGGCAGGCTTTGATGAGCTGGAATCAGAGGATATTGAGGACATCCAGGCATCCCAACCAAAAGAGCTCACCAACGAACATCTGCAACAATTAACAGACCACAGTCCCATTGAAGACGACGACGACGATGAAGAAGAACCTCAATGAACGCTAACTTCAAAGAGGTTGGCAGAATCATTGAACATGTTCCTGCAAGCAATGCAAATGCTTCTAGATGACGACCCAAACAGAGAACGTAGCTCAAAGGTTCAATTGAGGACAGTGTTGGTTGCTACACCGAGATCTATAAGAAGAAGATGAGTAGCACCAAGCAGTCAACACTGAATTAATTTTTTCGGTGCGGGACAGCAGAAGGAGCTTCTTCACAACATCCTACAGCCGAGGAGGAGCAAACAACAACAGAGGAGGAGCAACCAGCGGCGGAGGAATCCCAGTCAGAGCAGGAGGAGGAAGAGGCAGCCGCAGAGTCTCAGTGACTCACCACCCTCCACCTCTCCCGCCCTCCTCCGCTCCAGCCATCCTCCTCCTTCGCTCCACTACCCACCACACATTCGCTCTACCACCTCCGCCCATCGGTGAGTACCAATAAAAACTTAGTACTGTAGTTCTATATAGAAATGGCAATGATTTTCTGTACATGTAACTTTTTTCATGGGGCAAAGGGAGGCTCAGGAACGTAACTCCCGTATTTTATCTATTTCTTATGGGGAAAATTGATCCATTTAACATTGTTTCGCTTAATGTCGTGTTTTCAGCAACATAAACCCAACATTAAGCGAGGACGCTCTGTACAGTACTCTAATGCTCAATGGGGCCTAGCTATTTTGTTGTTTATTTGTCAATAAAATAGCACTACAGTATTACTAAGTTGTTCTACTACAACCTTTAATCTCATCCTTCATACCTTGACATAATGCATGGTGTCATGTGTCGGTGCATCATCCTCAAATACATCTTTCTCTTCCCGGTGTCTATGAGAGACTTCATGAGCTAATGAGCGAGCTTTGTTCACTGCAGACTCCATCTTTCGTCCCAAGAATTTCTTTAGCTGTGATCTGAGACAAAAATTAATAAATAAATACTATAAAATCAGTACAGTAAACTGTACTGATAACTCGGCTGTATCAGCTGCTTATAGCTACCTTGACTGAGGAACAAGTCACTAGGAAAGGATGCCATTAGTTATGTGAGGGCTGAAAATTTTCATTGTTCTGTACTGAATATTCTTAACTTAATCCTACCAATGTAGTTAAGTGGGTTGGATGTGCAAACTGGTATGCCCACCGCCTAAACAGTGAGGGGATAAAAAATAAGAACAATTGTATTTTGATTCAACAAATCTTTGCCTGATCCTCTTTGGCATCATACTACATAAGACCTCCACTAAATGAATCTAGTAAGAATACATTAAACATCATCTGAGTGGGTGCAAATCCTGGCCATGAACTGTTATGATGGCAGGGTAAATATAGAAATAGTGACAGTGTTATTGTATATTAATGTAGTCACTGCTGGAAACTGTCTCATGCCACTGTTTCCTTTAATCATTGCATGAACTGTTACAGTAGCAACACTTGATCCATTTTGGCATGATTTGCACCAAAAGTTTATCTTTTGACCTTGTTACATGTTAATCAAGCTTATCAAGTTTGGTACAAAACCACAAATCCATTCTCGAGTTACCTTGGACCCAGAGAAACAGCATCCTGCCCTGCAATTGCCAGCAAGGCAATAGTAAATGACCATAACTGTGTTCTTTACATTAAATATAATAAATTAATGAAGTAATTATTTTCAACACACCTGTTTTTAAACAGTAAGTAAAGGATTAAAAAAGAAAACAGACATTGTAAGGCATTCTTACGTTTTCTTCTTAACCGCTGAGCTGTCTATCTCTGGTAGCTTCTTGAGGTTCACATCCACAACACTCTCTTCATCTGATTCTTGCCCATCAACATTTGAGTTACTGTCGGACAGGTTAATATTAGCAAACACAATGGCAGACCACACAGATCATATACGTATCATTACATTGTTGTAACTACAGACCTGGCAATAATTAGTGACAACTGAACATTTAAATACTGTACTAAATTCAGCAATTAAAACAATTCTCATTAAGTGGATGGCATGTTTCATATCTACCATGGCAAAACTAACAAATGCGATGTACTAATTAAATAAATTAGGGGTTCAAGATATGCTGTGTTAATAAGCTAATTTAGGAGTTTGTGATAAATTATGTTAGTGGGATGATTTAGGGGTTCTAGTGAGTGCTCAACACATAATTCTACATGTGATACACTCTGACAGGCAGCATGTCTCAAGATTTTTTCCTTTTTCTTTTTCACTTATATTACAGTATAGACCTAAATCAATAATTGCTACAATTGAGACATTAAGACAACTAACAACCTACTCTGTACAACTTCACCAACATTCAAGTGGTAACCTCACAGGCAAGAGGACTCTTCTTTGTGGACTAACAATATACATTACTGAGGCAAATAATACTGTCCATAACTTAACACAACATCAAAAACTAGTCCTACATCACTGGGCTATTGACGTGGCTTCAACAGACCCAATGGCTACAAGAAGAAAACTCAATAATTAAACAACAAACTGGAGAGACTATAGCTAGTGATAACTTTAAGCATTGTATAACAGTAAAATCTAACATTTCTGCCTGTTTTACAACAGTTCTACTCAACCACACTCAATATGAAAGCATGAATAACTTTCAACTGGGGTAGATATTAAAAATAATTTTAACTGCAAACATCGTTATTGTTATACTGTATTCTATTCTGAATCGTAATTATGAAAGACTTGATACTGTTTATCAATACTTAGCATGAATACTTCAAAAATATAAATGTCATGACAATATATATATACAGGGTGTCCCATAAGTTTCCATACATATAGTTTTTAACATTGGATTGGTCGGCGTGGTCCTGTGGAGTGGCCTCCCAGATCCCCAGACCTTACCCCACTTGATTTTTACCTTTGGGGGCATTTGAAGGCCATGGTGTATCAGGAAAAGATACAAAACATAAATCATCTCAAGCAACGTATCACCAACGCCATTACAAGCATAACTCCAGCTGTGCTTGAACGTGTTCTTCAGCAGTGGAGGACACGCATTGAAGAGTGTTTTCAACACAAAGGTAGTCATGTAGAGCATATTATATAAATAAAAATGGATTTTCATATAAAAAGGTTTATTTTTCCTATGTATGGAAATTTATGGGATACCCTGTGTGTATATATATATATATATATATATATATATATATATATATATATATATATATATATATATATATATATATATATATATATATATATATATATATATATATATATATATATATATATATATATATATATATATATATATATATATATATATATATATATATATATTTATATATATATATTTCATGTAAATCCACAATGAAAACGTTGTTTTGTATAACGTCGCGTTTTTAGGAACGTAACCCCGACGTTAAGCGGTAAATAAAACCCTGTAAATTTAAAGTTTAACATCGTTCGTATCGGAGGGCATTCATAAGTCGGGGACCTCCTGTATAATGTATCTACCTCCTATTCTCAACCTTGAACTGTATATTGTAGAACTTTATTTATGTCTCTCATGGGTCACTTCCCCAAACCCCCTTTCCCATAAGACCCAGCCCTTGTCAACCATGAGGGAACTCTAGAAAGTAGCCCCTGCAATTGGTGAGGGATTACTGTACTGTACTGCATTTGTTTAAACAAAAAAAATTATTTTTTCACTCAAAGAATAAATAATCATTTGCATTCCTTTATTACTTTGGGTTTTAATGTGTTATTGGGTATAACCATAAATATTGTTTTCAAATGACAGTATGAAGACAGTATTAAATATTTAAGTTCAAAGCAAGGTACATAAGATGATTTTAATTTCAACATTATAAGGTAACAGAGACTTACTTTCTAAACATGACAAACTTAATAAAACAATTCAATACCAATAAAAGGCTACCTACACCTTTTGATATTTGCTGTATTGGGTACATTTACTATCATCTTTGTCATTAGTATATAATACCTGCATACACACAGTTAAATTTAAGCTTATATGGAGCAATCTTCTTTGTAATACATAGTCCAACTCTTGTCTTTCATTCCACCTTTTCAGTGTTTCTCAAGGAAAATGATTAATGGTGGTAAAAAAACACTACAAATGCTTAAATTACGCCTCGTCCAGTAAAGTGAGATAAAAAAAAAAAAAAATGTAGAACTTACAAGCTAGCATACACAATACAAACATGGAATATTTGTTTAAGCAAGTTTGTGGTTAGCAAATGCAGTGGGGCTTCTTGTGCCTTGCATTACCATGAGCTGCTGCGACTGATTGCTTGGAGCCACCTGTCAGGCACTGTAATCGTTCTTCCCGTGGATATCTGCGCTTTACTGTAGTGAACCATCAATTGCTATAATATTGGATTTTTCACCTAAACAGGCACATTTATATACAGTAACATATAAAAGTGTTAATTTTTATGAAAGCCTTTTTCTACTGCAGTATATTGCTAGGTGGCCAGATAACAAAGGACAAACACACACATTCTAAACTGATCTTTCATTCTTGTTGCTACAGTATAATAAGTCGTTTTCTGCTATAGAACTCACCTTCCTCAACAAGGTCCCATCCATCAGTTTGGTTTATCCTTGTTGCTTCACACAAACTAGCATCAACCATTTGCAACACATCCTTCCCCAAAAATTATTTGACATGCTTTCTGTTTACTTATGCACACTACTGCTTCCTGGATGTCTATCCTACTCATGACTAGTGCATCCTTCACCCAACCATTCTTGCCTCTTTGTCTTCCCTCCTCTCTCCTACTATCCACCTCTAAATTACACACTCTTAATACTAAATAAATCATTCATTAGTTAATTAAATATAACCCAAAGAAGCAATAACTCTTTATGCCATGATAATGCCATTCTTGAGCAATGACCTCAGTTATCATAAATCAATTTTGTCCATGGCTCACAATCACCTCACCCTTTAGGTATCTTATCTCACCCATGGAAAATCCCAAAGGTCTATGTGGTACTCATCTGGGCCTCAATACAGTACTTTATTTTTTGGTCATAAAGAGAAGAATTAAAAGGATAGAAGATATTATTTTCATGTCCCGCCTCCCCCCATAATAATGGAAGGTCACATGCCAAGAATGGGTTTGCTTAAAGTGATTAGCATTCTTGGTGTGAAAGTTTGATGATACAAACCTGACATATTCACTAGTTAATCTCATGATATGAAGAGACAAGGGGTTGAGGGCCTGTGGCAGGCAATTCTCTGCATCACTGAGGGGAATTCTCTCCCCAGTATCAAGGTTGAGCACTGTCACTTGCTTCAGGATTTCCTGAAATTATATACAGTTATTGAATTATGCAAACTTAATTCACATTTACATGTACAATCGTCCAACAAGGTGATGTCGCAGTTTTCAGTATGATTCATTCAAACAAATATCTGACAATTTCGCAGGAGCCCAACGAGTGACTGACCAGTGGGCTGGACGCAGTTGTAGTAAGATGTTATATTTACGAACTGCTGAGCCAAATTTCTCGCTACCTAACTTTTTCTGGCATTCCCTTTTATTTTTGCAAGTAAAAAGTTTCAAAATGGTTAGCAAAAGTACCCTAAAAGAACTATATCCTAATCACATGCTTGAAAGATGAAGAAAATGCTTATTTCCTTGTTTAGAAGTTGCCTTATTTTTAAACAATATGGAAGGCATTTGTTAATCCAAAATTATTATTAATTGAATCTTTAATGTTTTATATTTTATTCTTGGGTACTAAATAATACAATGCTGTAGCTTCAGAGTATAAATGACAATTAATTTTCTTATAATCACTAGGGGAAAAATACCAAGAAACATTTATTTAGGCACAGTGTATAGTTTATCTAAAGCTTAAAATTTTGTGCTTGTGAAGGTTTCCCGCCTTACATCATCATCATCCATCGAGGTAGTGAATACGGAATATATTTGTTGACATTCATTAAAGACATGACATAAATATGGTGAGTATGAATATTATTTCAATTCGTATTTTTTACTCGATATTCATTTCAGCTTAACACAATTACTGTATACCTTTTCATTTTGACGTCCAATTATAAACCCACAAATTATTCCTGAATGTCCCTGAGCAATAATCTTATATGTCATATTATTTAATTTCAAAATATACTCAAATTTTAACTACATGATTTGTTCTTCCAATAATTCTATGAAAAACTGCTTTATCATTTATTAATTCATTTCTCATACTCTTTCACAGAAATGTGTTCCACCCCCAAAAATAAAAACAAGTTTGGTAGTTGTCAGATACCACTTTCTGATTGAAAGTTTCTGGAAACTGTGACATCTTTCATTTAGACTATTGTACAATAAACAACAAATATGTATGTATTGAACTTGGAATTTCCTGCTGAAGAGCTAAACCTGTTAAGTACAGTACAGAATATAGAAAACATAAGAATTACACAGAGGAGTTTAGGACTCCTTCGTGACTGGACTTGGTCCTTTCCTTTAAAACCTGGCTTAGGCACCAGTCATGGTTAAGTTATTACTTGGTGAATTCCTTAAGAAACACTGCTGAAACATAACCAAAATACACAAGGGATACAATCTTGAGATGATAATTAAATGAATAACTCATTGAGATTCAATAATATGCACAAAAAATCTACAAAGCTTAAAGCAGGGTTCTCACAATACAGTATGTCACATATAGTTTTTCCTGACATATTTCTCAAATTGTCTGGGCTTGAAAAGATAATGCATAATTGATTTATCAGGAATCTACCATTCCCTTATATCCACTTTAATAATATTTTAAGGAATTTGTTACACTTTCAAATTACTGGAGCAATGCCACCTTGTAATCATAATTCAAACTTTATACAAACTACACTACTTCATATCACAATTTTGGCAATAAGCAAACAAAATTCTAGATGGTATCATGCAAACATTGTTAGTAAAACTAGGTTCTCAGATTTTTATAAAAGTGAAACAGAAATATATCATAAACATTTCATGAATAAAATCATCATGACATGAATTGAAGGAAACCACTACTACCTGTACCATGTAATTAACTCTTCAAACACGAAAATTCTAAAGCTTTGTAAACTAAGTAGTCTACAGACTGCAATATACTGTACAATATAGTCTGCATTTACGCGGTCAATTGAACAGTGGAGGTCCGCGTAAAACGAGAAATGCGTAAACGAAATAACAGAATATATGGGACTAATTGAAATAGAGACTGGGCCGACTCCCAAACTCCACTTTTTCTGACACAATACGTATGTTGTAGTAAATATAACATCTTAATTTTATGATGGTATGCACAAACAATTAATATTTAAGAGAAATATCAATAATATTAGGTTTTTTAACACTTACGTTAGTACAAAAGATGGCTGGGCACGGGGATGGGGGGTTCCGAGGCAGAGGGCAGATTATTGGTCCCTCTCCTGTATCACTTGTATCAATTGTATCACTATCCACCACAGAGGCTTGCA